TCCCCTCCGTGTCCCCTCCGCATCCCCGCCGTGTCCCCTCCGTGTCCCCCGTGCTGCCCGCCCCGCCGGCTCTCCCCGCTCCGTGTGTCCCCCCCCGCCCGCGGGTGTCCCCGGCCCCAGGGTGACCCTGTGCTTTGCCTTTTGCTCTCAGTGCCACGCGTGCACTCCCCGTGTCACAAATGCCACCACACTCGCTGCCCGGGGGTGTCCCCACCCCACCCACGCACGCTGTGTGCTCCCTGGGTGTCACCAGGACACAGCACCAGGAAAATCCTGAGGACTCTGGAGCTCCTGGCACTGGAGAGCCCCTGGCACCCCACCCTCACTGGTGACACTGGTGACAGGATGTCACCCAGCTCCCCATCCCTGCCAGTCCCCAGCACAGCTCTGCTGCTGCAGCTTCACCCCAGCTCAGCTCCTCAGCTGTGGGGTGCACGAAAATGCAGGAGCCACAGGAACCCTGGAGCTGCTCAGGGATAGAGACCCCCCCTCCCTCCTGGGGGCACTGACCAGGCAGGGAGTGACCACTGGGCACTGTGGAGCCACGCTGCAGCCAGGCGTGTGGTCAGAGCCAGACACTATCACAAGTATTTCCCTCCAAAACAAACAAATTTGCTAAATAWGGACTCAGGAATCCTGAAAACTTCCTTTTAGCCTGACAGGAGATAACACTGCAGCTGCAGTTTCATTTCTGCCCATCCCTCTGTACCAACAGTGCTCTCCCAGAGTCACACCACACTCTGCTGCCCCGGGGGTGCTTTCAGAGGTGACAGATGAAAGCTGCGGTTCCAAAACTGCCCTGTGCCCCAGGAAGGGAGAAAAGGACGAATTGGTTTTGCCCAGATCACAGCAGTGCCAGCAGCAGGTTGGTCCCTTGCTTGGGGCAGAGCTGTAGCCCTCCCATGGAAATTAAACTCCTTTCATCAGCAATTAAACACTTATCAGTGATGAATCTTATCTGAGACTCCCCAGCTCTTGGGGTCTGATGGGTTTGCACGATTCTGCCTCATTTTTCCTGCATGGAAGGGCATTAATGGGGTGCCAGCTGCCAGGGACAAGTTTCCAATTTTTTGCTGCCTTCACCCCACTGTCCCCACACCACTGCCCACTGAGTGGCCGTGTCCTGTTCTGGCTGTGCTGGGATGTTAATAGAGAAGGGGGGAAGGTCTGTGGCTTAAAACAAAGGGGCAGATGAGGTTCTGGAATCAGGAAACGAGAATAAAGGCAGTTTCGATGGTACGAAGTGTCTGTCTCAGCAGGGACCTCCCTGCCGTGCCTTCCCCGCTCTTTCCACACTCCACCTCTGCCTCCACCCTCTTCAGAGGTTTCAAAATGAACAGAACAAGGAAGAGAAGATCCAGCAGTCACCCCTTCCCCCTGCAGATATCTGGAAAACCGGGGCGCTGGGAGGAACCACGGCTCGGTGCTAATGACCTGAGCTAATTACCGGGAGCTTCCCCTGCCCGCAAGATAAACAAGATAAACGGGGCATCACCCCGTGCACACACAGGCAGAATCTGCCGGTTTCACTGTGCAGCCTGAGCTCTCACTGACCTCACCCCGCCAGGGCTGTGGCCRGGCTCAGACAGCGCTGCCTGGGTGCAATATCCGTTCCCAGCCTCCGCCCCGGGGCCAGCAGMGCTCACCTTGCAGGGAAAACGCGGCCAAAAGCTGCTGGGAAAGCAGGGGCAGAGGGGAGGAGCAGTGGTGAGAGCGCAGGGCAGAACCAGAAGGAAAAGCAGAAGGAAAAGTAGAAAGAAAAGCAGAAGGAAAAGCAGAAGGTGTGGCAACTTCGCCTCATCCTCAGCACTCTGTTCCTCTTTTTTTTTTTTTTTTTTTTTTTTTTTTTTTTTTTTTTTTTTTTTTTTTTTTTTTTTTTTTTTTTTTTTTTGTAAGAGATGATGTGACACTCTAGAAAGCACTCGGGGTAAGGGTCAGGTGGGTTTGCTGGGCTGTTTCTGAATATTCTGACACCAAATCAAAGAATTAAGTCCCCAATCCTAATAAACATACAGCTGTTCATCCTTGAACATCCTACAGATGTTCAGCCTTGCAGGAAGCAGGAGCAGAAGCAGATTTGGGGATGTGGTGGGAAACCCCAGCTCAGGGAGAGTCAGAGCTGAGTTCTCTGCTTTGTTTTATCAAAAGCATCCCATCTCTGTCAATCTGTGCCCCAGGACTCTGTAAATCCGTGGCCCAGGGGGCAGCAATCAGCCAGCCCAGCTCACAGCTCAGGATTTTGTCCTCGCTGTACCCTGCTCACAGAAACCTCAGCCTGGGCTCTGGTTAAGAGCCTTTGCCAGGGGAAGCACAGCAAGGTTGATTTTTCCTTCTTGGATTTTCCTCCTGGATTTCCTCTTTGGCAATCCCTGTTCACCTTTTAGATGTGTTAGTGTGGGCCCAGGGCTTGGGCTGATTTTTGCCTTTGCTTACACAAAACCCACAATGATGAGGGTCCTAAAGAAAGGCAGGAATTCGCCTCACATGAAAATAAATTCCGTCACCCAAGTCTGACTTGCTTTTGAGGTTTGAATGRCTTTACCTGTGCTTTTGAGCYGTTATTAAATTTCCAGCAGGTTCAATAAGGCTTCTTATTTAAACAAATACAACACCAAAACCCAGGGGATGTTATGAACGTGGTTCAATTTGATTTTTTTTTTTGTAGAGAGAGCCCCATTCTGGTTTCCTCGGGGTTGGATGGTGTCAGAACCAGGCCCATCTATTTGCTTCATGCACCACTGACCGCGGTGCTTCGTCATTGCCCTGATCTTTTCCCTTTTGATAATTGGATGCTGCTCCCTCCTGGCTGGGTGGCATTTGAAGAGCAGCCCGTGGGATCAATGAGAAAGCAGGGCTGCGAGAGGGAAATAATCACTTTTATCAGCCCAGCTGACATAATTGGAATAAACAGCCAGGCTTTTGGGGCATGGCAGCCCTTCCTGGGGCCGTGAGGAGCTGCGTGCCAGCCTTGCCCTGCCTGCCCAGATGCTGATCAGGAACACTCTGGAATGAATCAGCCAGCCAGAGCAGGGTCTTGGCAAGTGCTTGGAAGTGACAATCCTCAGCAAAAACAGCGCTTGGCGGCAGAGGAATTTGTGAAATTCCTTGCAGGGAAGCGGTGAATTTGTGAAATTCCTTGAAGGTGTCACCGCGGGGAGGGTGTGAGGAGGCAGCAGAGGATGCAGAGACCGGGGAAGCATCGCTGTTTGTCTGGAGGTGGGCTCACACTGGCTCCTGTGCCTATCCCGGGGCTCACAATGACCCCTGGTGCCCCTGCTGACCATTCCAGGCTCACACTGACCCCTGTGCCCATTCTGCCCATCGTGCCCATCCCGGGGCTCACACTGGCCCATCTTGCCCATCCCACCTCACACCAGCCCCTGCTGACCATCCAGAGCCTCACCAGGCACCCTGCCCATCCTGCCCATCCTGCCTATCTGCATCCTTTGAAGAACCTGGCATTGCCTGCTCAGAAGGGATTCCCTCTGCTTTCCCATAGCAAAGGGAAACTGGACAAAGAGGGATCTCCTGAACCAGGATGCTCTGATCCTCTCCGTGCATCTCCAGGGCATCACTTGAGAGTGGGAGATCGCAGCCATCAGCCCCAGATTTACACACAAGCATTTATTGTATTTTTTTTTTTTTTTAGGCTACACCTCGAGAAAAGGGAGCTGCTGGCCATGAGCAATGACCCCGGGGAAAAGGGAGGCACTTTCTGTGGAACACGACACTGCTGGAACAGCTGAGCACCGGGGATTCATTGTCTCCGGGCCAAAGGCTGAGCTGCTGCTCYGTAAATCAGCGCTGCTGGTGGATCCAGGATCCAGAGCGACACAACACSAGGGCAGCAGGGGGAACAGGAGAGAGCAGCGCAGATAAAAGATGGTTATCTCCCCTTTTTTCTGCTTGTAGCTTTTTTTTTCCATAATTGAACATGGTTTTGAGAAGCGCAAGAGATCGCTGTCTCCAGCCCAYGCCTCCCCCTCGGTTTGTCCCTGGCAGTGACCCCTGAGCCCGCRGTGCCAGCAGTGCTCCCTCGCCCTGTGCCCAGATCTGGTTTCCTTGCAGGCTGTGAGGCTGCAGAAGGGGAGTTTGCCACATGCTGGGGGATTTTTGGGTGGTTCTGCTCCATCACCCTCCCCAGCAGGTCTGAGGAGACACCCACCAGCTGCAGTGGGGCCACAGAGCACCCGAAGTCACCAAAATGCAGCTACAAATTCCCGGGAGCCTGGGGTGGATTTTCACACTCATGATGTGAGGCCAAGGCTAATTCCCAGACAAAATCCCCGAGTTTTGGCTGAATTGAAGGTGTTTTCTGATTTACAACCTTTGTCCTGGGGTCCTGAGCTGCTCAGATCATTCTCAATGYCATGAAGCAGGAGACAAATTGTGTGRCACCTCCRGGGGTGGAAAGCTGTGGCTCYCATCAATAACRGGCAYGGATAMAGGAAATATTCCATGGAAACAGCAMAGGGAGCAGAGAGAGCTCTGCCCTGTGCCCCTCTCCAT